TCATCCAGATCATTAATAAAGATGTTGAACAAAACCGGCCGCAGGACCAACCCTTGGAGCACTCCACTTGATACCAGCTGCCAACTAGACATGGAGCCATTGATCACTACCCGTTGAGCCAGACGATCTAGCCAGCTTTCTATCCACCTTATAGTCCATTCATCCAGCCCATACTTTTTTAACTTGCTGGCAAGAATACTGTGGGAGACTGTATCAAAAGCTTTGGTAAAGTCAAGATATATCACATCCACCACTTTCCCCATATCCACAGACCCAGTTATCGCATCATAGAAGGCAATCAGCTTGGTCAGGCATGACTTGCCCTTGGTGAATCCATGTTGACTGTTCCTGATCACCGTCCTCTCCTTCAAGTGCTTCAAAATGGATTCCTTGAGGACCTGCTCCATGGTTTTGCCAGGGACTGAAGTGAGGCTGACTGGTCTGTAGTTTCCTGGGTTCTCTTTTTCCCCTTTTTAAAATATGGGCACTATATTTGCCTTTTTCCAATCGTCCGGGACCTCCCCAGATCGCACGAATTTTCAAAGATAATGGCCAATGGCTCTGCAGTCACATCCGCTAACTCCTTTAGCACCCTGGGATGCAGCGCATCCGGCCCCATGGACGTGTGCACGTCCAGCTTTTCTAAATAGTCCTGAACCTGTTCTTTCACCATGAGCAGGGCCAGCTCTAGGCACCAGCAAACCAACAAAGGCGGCAGGGGCAGCTCTCTGCGGGTTTTTTTTTTTTTTGCTTGGGGCGGGAAAAAAACTAGAGCCGGTCCTGCCACTGAGGGCTGCTCACCTCCTCCCCATGCTGGGCTGCCCAGTGCAGCAGTCTGGGAGCTGACCTTGTCTGTGAAGACCGAGGCAAAAAAAAGCATTGAGTACTTCAGCTTTTTCCACATCCTCTGTCACTAGGTTGCCTCCCCCATTCAGCAAGGGTCCCACACTTTCCCTGACCTTCTTCTTGTTGCTAACATACCTGTAGAAACCCTTCTTGTTACTCTTCACATCCCTTGCTAGCTGCAACTCCAGTTGTGCCTTGGAGAACTGGTTAAAAGACAGGGAACAAAGGGTAGGAATTAATGGTAAATTCTCAGAATGGAGAGGGGTAACTAGTGGTGTTCCCCAAGGGTCAGTCCTAGGACCAATCCTGTTCAACTTATTCATAAATGATCTGGAGAATGGGGTAAAAAGTGAGGTCGCAAAGTTTGTAGATGATACTAAACTGCTCAAGATAGTTAAGACCAAAGCAGACTGTGAAGAACTTCAAAAAGATCTCACAAAACTAAGTGATTGGGCAACAAAATGGCAAATGAAATTTCATGTGGATAAATGTAAAGTAATGCACATTGGAAAAAATAACCCCAACTATACATACAATATGATGGGGGCTAATTTAGCTACAACAAATCAGAAAAAGATCTTGGAGTCATCGTGGATAGTTCTCTGAAGATGTCCACGCAGTGTGCAGAGGCGGTCAAAAAAGCAAACAGGATGTTAGGAATCATTAAAAAGGGGATAGAGAATAAGACGGAAATATATTATTGCCCTTATATAAATCAATGATACGCCCACATCTTGAATACTGCATGGTCTCTTCATCTCAAAAAAGATATACCAGCACTAGAAAAGGTTCAGAAAAGGGCAACTAAAATGATTAGGGGTTTGGAGAGGGTCCCATGTGAGAATAGATTAAAGAGACTAGGACTTTTCAGCTTGGAAAAGAGGAGACTAAGGGGGGATATGATAGAGGTATATAAAATTATGAGTGATGTGGAGAAGGTAGATAAGGAAAAGTTATTTACTTAGTCCCATAATACAAGAACTAGGGGGTCACCAAATGAAATTAATAGGCAGCAGGTTTAAAACAAATAAAAGGAAGTTCTTCTTCACACAGCGCACAGTCAACTTGTGGAACTCCTTACCTGAGGAGGTTGTGAAGGCTAGGACTATAACAGCGTTTAAAAGAGAACTGGATAAATTCATGGAGGTTAAATCCATGAATTTATATTAGCCACGATGGGTAAGGAATGGTGTCCCTAGACTGTTTGTCAGAGGGTGGAGATGGATGGCAGGAGAGAGATCACTTGATCATTATCTGTTAGGTTCACTCCCTCTGGGGCACCTGGCATTGGCCACTGTCGGTAGACAGGATACTGGGCTAGATGGACCTTTGGTCTGACCCAGTACGGCCGTTCTTATGTTCTTGGCCTTCCTGATTACACCCCTGCATGCTCTAGCAATATATTTATGTAATCCTTCTGCCCATCTGAGTTGACAGCAATAAGGGCTGGGTTCAGTATCTAGGGGTTCCATTTCAATAACACAATGCAAAACTGGCTCGAGCCCCCACCCAGTGACCTGGGACAATTACATACCACCACCCCCCCGACGCTTCTAAGAGGCAATACTTCCCCTCTCGCAAACACGGAGTCTGAGTGTAGCAAAATCCTTTTAATAAAGGAGGGAAAGAATGCGGCATTATGTTGGGGAAACACCACAAACAGGATTCATAGCACAAACCATGAGCAGGGTCTTAAGTCCAGCAACCCAAAAAATCACCCGAAGTCCCAACAGTCCAACACCCCAAAAGTCTCTTGAGTCCAGCAGCCCAAAGATCACCCAAAAGTCTCTGTCCCGGGTCAATGCAGCCCCAGAGTTCACAAGCTTATCTGCAGAGTTTTACTCCCCCAGCCTTGGTGGAAATGGGTGGGGGGGGCATTAAGGGGCACCTTATATGGTCCGAGGCCAACTGCCCCACCTCTCCATGGGGTTCTGCTGCAGCCTTCACCGTGAGCCACTCCGCTCCACTCCACCAGCCATCCCACAAACTGCTCCGCTCTGCCAGCCGCTTAGCAATAGATCTTCAGGCCCCACCACTAGTTAACACAGCACTCAGTGACTTCAGCTTGTAGTAGGGGAGCCCCAGTGCTGGTCCACCATTGGCCCAAAGTGAATTCAGCTCAGTAGCCTGTAACTAGACTCCTAATGGAATCAAAATTAGCTCTGATATTCAACAGTGGAAAGAGGTGGCGGTGGAATTGGTGTTTCAGGCCCTCAAACGGCACCCATACCATCAAGTACAAATACCTGCAGCCACCCCCTCCCCACCTCAATTCACTGGGTTTTGGAACCCATGTCCCTTGTCTAACGAGTATTACTTAGTTGATGGCGAGTCCCTCTGTCATAAAACAGTTCTACTGGCCTTGATTCATATAATCAGGGTAACAACACTTTATTCTTCCTGCCCCAATAACAGAGAAACTGGGGATCCCACTGCAGCCAAAGTGACCATTGGCTGCTGTGGGCTCGTGCCAGGCAGGGTGGGTGTGCCTATGCAAACAAGATCAGCCCCTGAAGTTCTTTTGCACAACTCGCCACAATTCACCACCAGATGTCAGGGTAGAGCTCATCCTGACTCTGCTTACATCCATACTCCTCCCTAGTCATCTGTCCAAATTTCCACTTCTTGTAAGCTTCTTTTTTGAGTTTAAGCTCACCGAAGATTTCACTGTTAAGCTAAGCTGGTCGTCTGCCATATTTGGTCCCTTGACACTGATGGTTTCATGACCAGGCAGATCACATTGCTGCAGCCCTGCTGAGGGATGACAAAGCCATAAGTAACTGAGACCAGATTTTTGTCTGTCAGGAAGGAACAGCATCTCCTAGCCAAGGGGAGATGATAGAGAACATTACTTGTGGATGCTGCTATGTGAGAGCTTACTGTCAACGAGGAATCCAAGAGTGCTCAAAGACTATGGCCTGACTGACAAATGTGGGGGGTTAACTTAAATGTTGATCAGAGGATGTTCAGAGGTTCTTGAAAACTCATAATGAAATCCCATCACAACATGGGAACCTTATCGCAGCCTCTTTGTTTTTAATCACAGTTTCTAAAGCAAATTCACAGTGGACAGAGACTTTCTACCCTAAAGATGAACATACGCACTGCCAGACTGGATCAGACCCAAGGTCTAGCTAGTAACTTTCAGCAGTTTATGTTTCCCCCGGAAATTGAAATTAGGGGGTATATTCAAAAGTACAGGGGGACTGGGGAGGACTGATAAGGGGTGAGACCATGAGAGTGAAGGTGGGCTGTATGGCACCATAGTAAAAACTGAAAAATGTTTCACGACCATTTTATTAGATTTAACTCACATTTTTAAATCATCACACAAATTAAAGTTGTCTATACAAGCCTCCTATGAAGCACTATATCTACATCCTTCTTGTAATTTTGCACAAATCTGTTAATGAACTTCTCAAATGCAGTGCATTCATTTTTGGTGGTTTCTCATGTATCAGGTACTTCCAGTCCCTCATGATATGCTCATGATCAGGCAGAAAGCATCTTCTTTCAGAACACAAAATTCTATTCAATGAGAAAAAAGAATGCTCAACTGTAGCAGTTGTGACTGGTAGTAGCAAGAGATGAATCCCTACTTCCTTCATCCCAGAAAACAAAGCACAAAAATTGGGGTGATGATATAGAAGAAGAAGATGAAATCAAATCTACATTTGTTCATCGTATTTGTTCTTCGCCCTCCTCCTGCTCCCCATCCCTGATGCTGCAGGCAGGGAGAGAGGAGGAGCTTCCGGGGGTCACAGAGATGAGGGGCTGGGGACTGGGTAGGGAGTCCTCTAAGGTCACAGAGACTGAAATGACGGTAGCTAGAGAAGCCCGTCTTTTCATTCTTATTCCCCCGCTCCCTGCCCATTTATCAATGACATAGTGTGAACCTGGATGCTCAAAGTCATCCTGGTCCATAGAGAACAGTGACAAACAGGCTACAAAATCCTTGGGACAATGAGATTGGCTTCTCTGCCTCCATCATTTCCTGCTCTCTATGGTTTGACAGTCCAGAGACTCCACAGAGAGTGCAGGGTACAAAGTCTGTTAGAAGACAGAAGTCCTCCAGAGTCAGAGACTAGGACACCTGAAGCTAAAGAGGCTGATTTCAGGGTCCCCAGTCGGATATTCCCTCCTTCCCCTATGTCTCAGGGACAGAGTCTGAGCTGGGATCCCCCCACCCAGAGCCAGGGGTGGATTCTCTCCCCAGGGACAGAACCCAGAGGGAAAGTGAAGATCAGAACCTCGTTACCAGCATCGAAAAATGTCACCTGCCTCTGTTCACAGTTCAAACAAACCTGGATCCTGCTGGGGACCCACCTCAGGGGCGGGGGGGGGGTCACAGGGGAGGTGAGAGCCTGGTACCAACCCCAACAACACTCCACAGCCCAGATCCCCTCCTTAGGGTTAAGGTTGATCCATCCCTTCCTCCTCACAGACTCTCTGGCTACACCCACAGCCCAATGTCCCCCATCCTTCACTTTCACTTCCACCTCCCAGGAATGTCTCTCCAAGGTGAATCCCTCACAGCCCAACACACAGGACTCAGATTCAAATCTCTCAGGAGTGCCGGGCAGATTCTGCCATGTGTGTCCCCACCTCACACTTTTCCAATCCTCAGACAGGATGAGCTGGGGATGAGCCGTGTCACATTCACTGGGGAGAGAGAGAGAGAGAGAGAGAGAATCAGAGCATTGGGGCAGAGCTCAGCCCTGGGGGAGGCAGGGACCATTTCAACACTCCCCAGCAGCAGCCCTGCTCTGGCTGGGACAGGCCTGGATCCCAGGGAGCTGCCACTGTCCTGGGCACCTGAGGCTAAGCAGAGATGTCACTGCAGTTCCGGGAGCCACTGAATTAGTTTCTCATTTTCACGTGAAGCAGAGGCTTCACTTGAGCCTGAATGGGAACGCTCCATTCCCAGCTTCAGAGACACAGCAGAGAAAGTTTTAGAGATGAGTGAGCAGAGGAGGCAGGTACCAGTCAAGCTCCCTCCCATAAATGCAGCCTCCACACTCCCAGCTCAGAGAACAGAGAGGAAGGTGCAGCACTGGGGAATAGCCACTTAAGACCAGAGAGTAGGAGGTGGCATTGGGTGGGGTAGCTCCATCCCCAGTGCAGAGAGAAGGGAGGGGGGCCAGTACCATAGGCAGAGCATCTCCCCAATCCAGGAAGCAGTGAGCAGCTCCATTGGGAGAGCCCAGCCCTGCCCAGAGGAAAGGCAGGATGTTGGAGAAGAGCGATGGGGAGACCCCCTGCACTGGGGTAAAGCAAAGGGATGTGTCAGCCCTCAGGGCAGAGAGCTCTGTTCAGGTGCTGCTCAGTGAGAGTGTTTCTGTTCAGCAGCTGCATGAACTCAGCACCAAGGTTGGTGTCAGGAGTGTCTGTGTGACTCCAGCCTGGGATCTCCTCACTGTTCAATGTGTGCATTTTTAGGGCTGTGTGTGTCATGGTCACTGTCAGTTCAGTTGGTAACTTTAGCTACAATCTCATGAAGCTGTTTTCTTTGGAATTTTCTCAGAATTTAAAACTAATCTCCACCTGCAATCTCACCCAGTCTGAGTGCTCCTCTTCTTGTCTCCAGTGCAGACGGCAGAGAGCCTGGAGGGAGAAAGGAGAAAAGAGAGATGAGATTTCAGGCTCTCTTATTTATAACAGCATCCCCACATTGAACTCATAGAGCTGTGCTTTCAGCATGGCAGAGAAACAGACAGAGAGGCCCAGAGACACACTCAGGTATTTAATATAAAGTCGTCTGTAAGCCTTCTATTTCCTCTCTCTTTCAGGCATCTCCCAGCAATGGACCCAACACCCATGAAGTCTCACAACCATCCCAGGACACACAATCTGTCAGTGTGATTTATTTCTCCCACATCATCCCCTCCCACCCTTCAGACCCCGGTTGGTTTCTCTCATTCACTCACTGCCTTTTGTCACAACCTAGACCCAGGCCATGCAAAGACTTTGGCAGAAAAGTAACTTGACCCACGTTGGTCCCTTTGACACTAACGGGATGTTCAGAGTTTGTGAAATCCTGGCTTTAATTGTGAGCTGTTGGGGCTGTTCACTCAGCGTCTCTACAGAGAGCAGCACGATGGGGTGGTGTGTAATTGTCCCAAGTTACTGGGTGGGAGTCAAGCCGGCTCTGGGTTGTATTGTTGTATTATTCAAAAGGAACCCTTAGAAATTGAACCCAGCCCTTGCTGCTGTGGATTGCAACTGGCAGAAGGGTTACATCCACAACAAAACTGTTCAGACTAACAGTGGTTATTTTTGCTGCAAACCAGTCTAATCCCAATGCAAACCAGTCTAATCCCATGGACCTGCGCTGTCTGGATCCCTTTTATGTGTAGACTCAAGGTGTTCAGGGTCCACACAGGGCTTAACACAGTGACCTCCTCTAGTGCAGACCAGCATCTGATTTTAACCCCTCATGGAGCAATACGGGAATTCAGAATCCCAGTGAGAAACCTCCTCTCCCTGCTGGGCCTGGGACCTTTATCAAGGTGTCTCCCTCCTAACAGCTGCACTTCATCACTGCTCAGTGCTGCTGTGGAGGCAGCATGACCCAATGGTTAGGGCACTGGTCTGGGCCTTGGGAGACTTGGGGGCTATTCCCATCTTTGCCCCTGATCTGCTGAGTGATCTTGGGCAAGTCTGTGCCTCTGTTTTCCCTTCCACCCTTTGTCTTGTTTACTAAGACTGTAACCTGCCCAGGGCAGGGATTGTCGCTCGCTGTGTTTTGTGCAGGGCCTAGCACAATCACGGTCAGATCTCCTTTGGGGTCTGCTGGGGATACTGAGATGGAAATAGTAATAATAAACACTGTGGTACAAATCAGTAACAACAACAGCTTGTAGCTTCCTAGTCTCCACTCTGAAGGTGACACTCTCAAACAGACTGGCCTGCAACTCATGTGCTTTATACCTCATGGATCATTTAGCTGCTTCTGTTGTGTAGAAAGTTCCCTTATGTCACCAGTGGCAGCTGGGAAGAGGATTCAGCTTCTCAGACAAAAATTCTCTCACATCAGACATCTTTAAATTCTTTCGGGGGGGGGGGGGGAATTGCCTTTCTTGCCACACTGCGTATCATTTACTTTTTAAAGCATCTGTCATACAATGAAGGCTTTACAAAGCTGAGTAATGCAGTTACACTGGGTTCCCTGCAACCATGGGGCCCTCAACAGACCCCAAGTGGGAAATGATTTAGGAAAGAATTCAGCATCTCAGAGAAAGGTTTCCCACATCAGATATCTTTCAAGTCTTCATGCTGCATAATTTCCTTTTTTATAGCGAGCTTCATGCAATGGAGGCTTTATAGAGCTCAGTGATGCAGTTACACCAATAGCTGTGATAGGCAACTTTCTATGAAATTAATCTGTAATTAAAATCCAAAGTTATTACTCTGATTAATAATGTATTAAGTTATCCAAAATCTAAAGTCATTCAACTTAACAGCAATTCCTTACCTTGTACTCCAAGCAGCCTCCTCTATGGAAACCACAGTGTGAGCCCTGTGAGTCCCTGACAGATGGCAAACTAAACAAATAGAAGTTTGATCCTCTTCACAGAACAGTTTCAGAGGCTTCCAGTGTTCCTCACACACCCTCTCCCCTCCTGCTCCGTCCAGTGCCTCTAAACTCAGCTGTTTGGCTGTTTCTACTTCTATCACTAGTTGCCTATTTGGTCTGATGTTTCTTGTTCCACAGTCTCTCCTTACTTGGGATAGGAGGCATCTGTATCCGATCCCTCCCAGCACTGACTGGTGCAGGCATGGCTGAGATTGTGCCCACATTGCAGAGTGACGGGTTCCATGAAATACTCCACACAGATTGGACAAGTAGCTTTATGCTGGAGACTTGCCACATGGTTCTTTGGCGCCATGGCTCCTTTTGGACAGTGAAACAGAGTAAGGTTCACTTAAATTCACCCAGCCTGCAATACAACTGGGTGTTTCCTTTCTGGCACTGACTCTGCTGTTTGCTCAGGGTCGAGCACCAAAGAACGACACTGGAGCAGAGAGAAGCTCAGGGGGTTGAAAGCTAGCTAATAATCACAGACTTCAGAGGTTCAAGGGACAACTGTGCAGCCATTTAACCTGAGTAGTACACAAACACTGAGTCAAACATGGCCCTGGGCAAAAAAATCAGAGTTTGTGTAAAGGGTCGTAGTGTTACAATCTACCTCTGTCAAAGGGCTATTTTTTATTTTGGGTAAATGCAATCTGAGTACAGCAGAAAATTCAGCAGGTGCTCAAACTATGTTTGAAAAGAAAGTACAAATGCTTGTTTGGCGGGAAGGGGGAGTTTGTCGCTATTCATCTTTATACAGTGCAAGCTCTTTGGGACAGGGACATGTAAGCTGCCCAGCAGATTTGTGTATTGTGTATTTTCTTGGGATGGTGAGCTGGGTACACTGTCTTCTTCCTGGCCTGCCACACACAGAGCCTCCAACTTGGGAGAGGTGAATGAGGACTCTAGAGCAATAGTTCTTAGAGAGAACACCCATTGACATGCAGGGGGTAGTTCCCTCCTCTCAGAGCTATTGGCTCAGGCTCTCTGCAGACTCAGGCACATGGCACTGTATCCGTTATGCTTAGGTCACATTTTCAATCACAAGGGCTAGCAAGTTACATTTTGATTGTTGATATTTTGTGATGAAACCAGAGGTCTGTTCTAATCAGGCAACTCCAGAGATTGGTCCCTAGGGAAGAGTCCACAGTACCTGTGCTTAAACCCACACCTGTATGTATGTTCCATGCAGCAGAGCAAGGGCTGCAGTGTTCACAATGAATGTGAACACCTGGCTGGCAGTGCCTGGGCTGTCAGGGGAGCGGTGTGCACAGCTCGTTCCTTCCATTCCCGGCCTGGCAGCAGCTTGAACACATCTTGCTTCAATCCTGTGTGTGAGGAAAATGCCTCACACAGAGCTCTAGTGCCCATATCTCCCTAATGAACAGTGCGGGGTTGACAGGCTGTGACAGTGGCCAGGGCTCCCTGCACCTTCCCAGAGGAAGGAGCCTACAGGGGAGAGATTTAGGTGGAGCCAGTGATCATGGGAGAAACTCCATGAAAGTGGGAGATTCTGTGGCTCTGAGACATAGTCTGAAAAGGGAAGGATTGAATTAACCCAGATCCACAGTGCTTCCTACCTTGTATTTCTGCAGCCTCCTCCATGAGAAGCACCGTGTGAGATCTGTGCTCAGGGGATCTCTCACAAACCTCAGACGTGGCTTCCCCATCCTCCTCACAGAATAGATCCAGGGCTCTGCTGGTTTGAAATCCATCTTTTTAATTTTTCCCCACTGTATTTGCTAGCTGATTAGTTATTCCAGAGAGCCCCTTTCCAGATCTGGGCTCTGCAGCTGGGGCAGCACACAGGGTCATAGTCCCCCTCTGCCTATGTCTCACAGTACTGAGTGATGCAGCCTTGGCAGAAGTTGTGCCCAAACTGTAGGGTCACTGGGTCTGTCAGATATTGCAGACAGATGAAGCATTTGGTTTCCTCTTGGATTTCCTGTACAGGAGTCACTGAGGCCATGGCTGCTAGGATCTCTGATCTTCTGTTCTCTCTGCATCAGAAATGGTTTTGCTGACCATGGTTTTGGAGCTGCACAGGTGCAGAATGAGGTGAAGAGAAAGGAGAGGCTGGGAGGTGGAGCAGGAGAAAGATAAGAAAACAAGGAAGCAGGAACTACATAGGCAAGGAACAGGAGCAGTGGGGTGTAAAGAAGCAGAAAGTGAATGAAAGGCAAAGTAGGGAAAGGAAACAAACAAACAAGAACACAAACGTTTACACTCAGGGTCTGTCTACACAGTCCAGGCAGGGGTTGGGGATTGGATTGTACGCCAGCAGCTGGCCCACGCCACCCTCTTGCTGCCACAGCCTTACTGCTATTGGAGTGCGCTCGCTCCAGCAGAGTCAGCATGTGCACGTCTACCCGAGCTGAGAATCACACCTCCCAGGTGCTGTGTAGACGTGTCCTCAATCAAACTAGGATTTTCTTAATTCACAGTGGGGGCATCCACAGCCACATGCAGACTTGCACTGAAACAACATTAGGTGAGAACTAAACCCCATTGAGTGATGTCAGTGACAATGCGTGTGCAGAGGAGCCTTGGCTTGGCTGTGTCTTGCGGTACATCCAGCCACCCGCCTGCGAGTAGCCGGGCTACAGGGGCTCCCTCAGTTAAGGCCAGAGGCAGCTGGTCTGTGCTAGTGACACAGCAGGAAAACAGCAGCAACTAATGGAGAGCAACCCTTGAGCTGAAGGGTGAGATTATGGCAAATCCTCAAAGCTTTATGACTTTGCAGTCTAAAGGATACAGCCCAGCCCATTCACAAGGCCAGCTGAGAGCTGGAAAGAAGATTTTCAGTCTAAACTTTGTAAAACTCCACACACAGCAGGGAACGTAACAATCCTACCAGCCCCCTCCCCCTTCCTCTCATTTTTTTCTCTGTGGGCCAAGACTGAGCTCATAATCACTATGTGGACTGGATTTGCTGGGGGGAAATACAAGCCAGGGATCCTCATTTGACTCTGGGGAGAGGCGTGTCAGCTCAGAGAGAAGGAACAATAAGGACTTTTCAGCACAGAAAGCTGAATATGCTGAAGTCCACAATTAGCAGCAATCTACTCCTCTGCACAGGCTTCTTGCTGCTGAAACTCCCTGCAAAGGTTCCCCTCCAATGCATTTGCCACCACAGGTCTAGGTTCTCACTTGGGTTGTAGCCTTGCTCCTTTGCCTGAGCACTTAGCCAGTGTTTGGGGCCTTGCTAGGTTCTTCCACTGGGAGGAGAAATTTATAGGAGAGTAACGGGGTCAGCACCCACCTCTCATGAGTGTCCTGTCTGCTTGGGTGTGTCTGTGTTCTTTCAGTAAGTAGTCCCTACCCTGGTATGGGGCTGTATCTCCAGACTTCCTCCCTGGAGACACTATCTTCCTGTGGTCCTCTTCAGACTCAGTCCCTATGCAGTCTCCACAGCCTCCCCCAGTCCCTGCTAGCAAACTGTCTTTGGCATAATCCTAGTGTGACGGGTTGGATCACAGAAACCCCCTTGGGAACTGCCACCTGATGTGCAAAGACTACCCCTGCTCCTGTTTTCCTTGCCAGCTCAGGACTCCAGCACACTGTCTTGTTGAGCCAGACACTCCTGTCTGCTCCAACACAGACTCACGGTCTGAATCACTTGTCCCAAAGCTGCAAGTTTACCTGAAAACAGCTCACAGAAGTGTGCTTGTCCTTAGCACTCAGATGGCCAACTCCCAATGGGGTCTAAACCCAGATAAATCCGTTTTACCCTGCATAAAGCTTATGCAGGGCAAACTCATAAATTGTTCGCCCTCTATAACACCGATAGAGAGATATGCACAGTTGTTTGCTCCCCCAGGTGTTAATACATTGAGTAAATTACTAAATAAAAAGTGATTTTATTAAATACAGACAGTAGGATTTAAGTGGTTCCAAGTAGTAACAGACAGAACACAGTAAGTCACCAAGTAAAATAAAATAAAATGCGCAAATCTATGTCTAATCAAACTAAATACAGATAAGTTCCTCAACAGTTCCCGAATGCTCCCTTTTACAGGCTAATCTCCTTTTAGCCTGGGTCCAGCAATCACTCACACCCCCTGTAGTTACTCTCGTTTGTTTCAGTTTCCTTCAAGTATCCTGCGGGGGTGGAGAGGCTCCTTCTTTAGCCAGCTGAAGACAAAATGGAGGGGTCTCCCACGGGTTTAAATAGACTCTCTCTTGTGGGTGGAGACCCCCCTCCTCCCTCCTATGCAAAGTCCAGCTCCAAGATGGAGTTCTGGAGTCACCTGGGCAAGTCACATGTCCCTGCATGACTCAGTCTTTACAGGCCGAAGCCATTGTCCACATGGTATCTTGCATGTCTCCAGGAAGACTTCTTATGTGGATTGGAGCATTCCAAAAAGCATTGTTCTCCAAGTGTTTCCTGACCAGGTACTTAACCTGGCGAATTCCTTCCTAAAGAAGATGTCCAAATGCCTCCAAAAGCTTACTTAGAAACCAAGCAAGCATACAGCCCATATTCTTAACCTCAAGTAGAAAATGATATATATGTACAAATAGGATGAACAGATATAGTAGACCATAACCTTTATGGAGATATATTACATGGCACAGGCAGCACAAAACATATTCCAGTTATGTCATACATACATTTATAAGCACCCCCTCCCCATAAAGCCTTATGGGGTACACTGTCACACCTAGCACCAGCCAGGAGCCTCTAGCTCTCGGGTCCCTGCTAGCAGACTGTCTTTGGTCCTGCTGCTCTTCCAGCCAGGCACACAGTCCTTTCTTCTACAGCTCCACACAGCAACTAATTACTACTGTAGTCTGCAGCTCCTGTTATATGGCCTTCCTGGCCCCTGATTGGCCTACTCTTCTCTTGGCTGCTCAGAGGACCTCTCGACTGCTCCTTTCCTGGGATGGGTGTGGCAGAACCCTAAGGGCCTAGTCCACCCATTACATGGAGTCAGGTATTTCCTTGGTGCAATTGTTCCTATTTACAAACAATGTCCACACATTCCTGTGTTCTGAAAACATTAGAAACAAACAGCAGCCTCCTTACTCAGAAATAGGGTTACCAACTTTCCTGACCAGATGCCATTTGTGGCAATGGCGACTGGTTGGGAAATTTGGCAACCCTACCCAGAAATCCTAGTCTGCCTTTCCAGGGAGTTCTGTCACTCCGTGTCCTGCCAGGATCAAACTGACAACTGCTTCTCTTGGCCTTCTTTATAATATGGAGATATACCTATCTCATAGAGCTGGAAGGGACCTTCATAGAATACCAGGGATGGAAGGGACCTCAGGAGGTCATCTAGTCCAACCCCCTGCTCAAAGCAGGACCAATCCCCAGACAGATTTTTGCCCCAGATCCCTAAATGGCCCCCCTCAAGGACTGAACTCACAACCCTGGGTTTAGCAGGCCAATGCTCAAACCACTGAGCTATCCCTCCCCCCCACTACCTCTCATACACCAAGCTGTCCACCAATCCCTCAGACCCTGTCTTGTCAACTAGCTCCGGGGTTACCCCTCTTAGCCCTGCTTTACACTTGAAACCATGATCAACCTTAGTTACCTCACCCTGGACTGTGAAAAATTGTGTGTCCTGAGTGCCACAGCTAGATCAATAATAGTTGGGGACTGGTCCTGCTTTGAGCAGGGGGTTGGACTGGATGACCTCCTGAGGTCCCTTCCAACCCTGATATTCTATGATTCTATGATCAACCTAATTCTGACGGTGACCTGGCTACCTGCCTCCCAGAAAGGGGGGTTAACTAGAGAGATGGAAAAACCACTTCCGTCAATGTAGGAAGTATCTACAGTTCAGCACTTCAGTGACAGAGTTGAATCTGTGCTGCTGTATTGGCTGTAGTATAGGCATACCCTTATTCTTCCTGAGGCCTACACCTAAAACTTAGGTTGACTTAGCTACCTCACACAGAGCTGTGAAATATTTAGTGAGGTCGATCTAACCCAGGAATCTCAAACTCAAATCACCATGAGAGCCATGTGAGGACTAGTACATTGGCCCGAGGGCCACATCGCTGACACCTTTTCATACAACTGTAACCCTTCTGCCCATCTAAGTTGGCAGCAACAAGGGCCGGGTTCTGTATCTAGGGGTTCCGTTTCAATAACGCAATGCAAAACCGGCTCAAGCCCCCACCCAGTGACCTGGGACAATTACATACCACCCCCCTGGGTACCTCTAAGAGGCAATACTTCCCCTCTCGCAAGCACGGAGTCTGAGTGTAGCAGAAAAAGTTTAATAACATGAGGTAAACGACATCAGCATTAAATTGGAAAAACACCACAAACAGGATTCATAACACAAACCATGAGCAAAAGACCCACCCCAGCAAATTGGGCTGTGTCCTTTCCCTTTGGTTCTTGAATCCAGCAACCCAAAAATCACCCAGAGTCCCCAAAGTCCAACACCCCCAAAGTCTCTTGGGTCCAGCAACCACCCAAAGTCCTGAAAGTCCAACAACCCCCAAAGTCTCTGTCCCTGGTCAGTGCAGCCCCAGAGTAAAGGGGGGGGCACGCAGGGTGTTAAGGGGCACCTTACGTGATCGAGGCCGGCCGGCCGTCTCTCCGTGGGGTTCCGCCGCAGCCTTCACCACGAGCCTGTCCACTTCCTGCCGTCCCACGAACTGCTCCGCTCTACAAGCTGCTCCGCTCCGCTCACCGACCTGTGAGCCGCTCCAGCTGTCCCCGCAAACAGCTCCGCTCGCCGTTCCTTGGGCCACTCCAACCAGCCGCGCAAGGCTCCGTGCCGCTCGCTGCTCCTCCAGTCGTCCCCACAAATTGCTCCGCCAGCTGCTTAGCAATATAGCTTCAGGCTCCCCAACTAGTTAACACAGCACTCAGTGATTTCAGCTCTTAGCAATTTCAATTCATAGTAGGGGAGCCCCAGTGCTGGTGCACCATTAGCCCAAAGTGAATTCAGCTCAGCAGCCTGTAACTAGACTCCTAATGGAATCAAAGTTAGCTCTGACATTCAACAGTGGAGAGAGGAGGTAGTGCCATTGGTGTTTCAAACCCTCAGAGGGGGGTCCATACCCTCAGGTACAAATACCTGTCCCCATCCTCTCTCAATTCACTGGGTTTTGTAACCCTGCCCCTTGTCAAGCAAGTGCTACTTAGGTAATGGTGAAGGACTCACTCAGTCCTTCTGTCATACAACAGTTCCACTGGCTTTGATTCACAGAATCAGGGTAACAAAACTTTATTCTTCCTGCCCCAATAACAGAGAAACTGGGGATCCCACACCAGCCAAAGTAACCACTTTCAGTTGCTGTTGTTTCATGCCAGGCGAGTGGGTGTGCCTATGCAAACAAGATCAGCCCCTGGAGTTCTTTTCCACACTCGCCATAATTCACCACCAGATGTCAGGGTAGACTCTGACTCATCCTGACTCTGCTTACACAACGATACAAAAGTATAGTCAAAAATGAAAAAAATGAAGAGTAATATAGTATGCTATTAAAAGTCAATGTATTAACTTTTTTAAAACTGTAATGTGAAGAGGGGTTTTAATAAAATATAAACACCTGTAACTATTCCTTATGTGGTCAGAGGGAAGCTTGGCTCCTATGGTGGGCTGCAGGAAATAACTTCACGGGCTGCATCCGGGCCATGTGTTTGAGACCCCTGATCTAACCCCCGATGTAGACACAGCTAGGTCAATGGAAGAATTCTTCTGTCAACCTAGCTACTGCCGCTCCCAGAGGTGGATTAACTGCACTGATGGAAAAGTTTGGGTCCATTTCAATGAGGACAACCAAGCCTGCAGAACCTGGCACATGGGGCCTAACCCAGAGGCTGCTGTTCTTCTGCGCTCTGCCTCTTCCCCGAGCAGCATGGGCAGCAGGCAGACAAGGGTTATGCACAGCACAGCTGGCCCTCTTCTTGTTGTCAGATCAGGGCTCGGCCCACAGTTTGAAAACCTCTGTTAGATCCAGAAGTGATGAGTAGGGTGGTCACGTGCCACCGTCTCCACTATCAACAGTCACACATCACCCCTGTCTGCATTGCCTAGATGACAAATCAATGATTTCTGTTTACACAACGTATTCCATGGTGAATGAACAATGCCGTAATATTCACATTGCATAAGCATCAACATAAAAAATCTCACTGCTTTGCAACAGCAAATCAGAAGTGACGTCTGTTTTGACTGAGACGTATTTGGCAGGTGGAAGTGGAATATATTTTTACAGTGTGTGAGCAAGTTATACTGAAAATTAGTAAGTTTTTAAAACAACCTTATATTAGTCCTGCTAGTTGTGCTGAAGCCATGGACAATGCAGTCAAATAGTAAGAAACAAACGAAGTACAGAAAGTTTGACGAAAGTTATACTGATTTTGGTTTTATGGAATTCAGTGATTGACAACCGCGATGCATCACATGCTTACAAATCCTATCAAATGAAGCAATGCAAAGTTGAAATGACACATCGCAACAAAACACCTAGAATATAAAGATAACTGCAGAGACTTTTTTCAGTGAAAGAAAGAAGAATCTAATTAACAGAATACTCAAATGACAAACATGACATTGGTTCTGTAAAAGGCTCTGAAAGCATCTTTCTTAACAGCACTTCTGTGATGCTCACAGAATGGTCAACTTGGGTATGACCTATAACTTAACAAGACACATTGAAATGTAACCAAGACAATCTACTTGTATGTGTATTTCAAAGAGATGTCCTAGACCAGCAATCATTAACCCATTTATTTGTAGTAATAGAAATCACGGGTAGATGCTAAGTGTATTTGTCTGTGTTTACCTGTATCTCATTAGAAGTTTAACAATGTGATCTAATTAGCTTGTAGATGCTAATCCTGTTCCTGTCTCATAATGCTGTGTTCTATGGATTCAGAGGTCAAAAGGGCAAATTATTATTTAGATGGGACTTGTGATACAGTAATATAATTATCCTAATCTCTCCTTGAAATTTGTAATTCCACATAGTAAACTACCTGTGAACTGTCTTGACAGTTCGACTGGCTAATTGCCTTATGTGACTGAACACAACTAGTTCATCTATAATAATAATATAAATAAAATAAATCAATTGAGATATCCTATAACTGGAAGGGACCTTGATAGGTCATTGAATCTAGCCCCCTGCCTTCACTAGCAGGACCAATTACTGATTTTGCCCCAGATCCCTACATGGCCCCCTCAAGGATTGAACTCTCAACCCTGGGTTTAAGCAGGCCAATGCTCAAACCACTGAGCTATCCCTCCCCCCATAAAATAGAAAATTAGCTTCAAAGCAACAATCTGCACTGCCTATTCTTCCTTGGGAGAAGATGCTGCTGTGATAATTGCTGTCAAGAAGTTTATCAATTTGCTAGAAGACTATAAAGAAAATGTCCCAGGGCTTGATCCTTTTTTACCTCAGGTCTGCTTAAACTTTGACAGGGAAGGTCTAAACCACAAGACTAAACCACCTCCCTCTGCCCCTGCATCCCCACTTCCAAGCAGCCTGACCCCACCTCACCCCTTCTCTGCCTCTCTCCTCTTCCTGCAGTTCACAGACCTGGTGCTGAGAGCTGAGAGGAGAGGGGGTGATGGGGGGCAGGCAGCTGATGCTTTTTACACCATCCCCATGGGAACAGGCCTGGGGGCTGGTCAGTGGTGGGAGGGGACAGTCTCTGCTGTGGGTGTCACTGTGAGGGACAGAGATTCCTTCAGGCCTTCTCTGGGACCGGGCAGATTATCAGGGGATCTGCATTTTTACCCCCTTCATTGAGACAAGGACTGAAATAAGGGTGGAGCATCCCAGAGAAGGTGTCAGTGAAAGTGAAGAGATGGGACTTGTCAGTTACATTGTAAAATGAGATCTCGCCCCCCTCATAGTCCAGGAAAATCCCCACCCGGCTGGGCCTGACACTCACGGGGAGAGGCGTTAGGGGGGAAGTGCGGGCCCAGTATTTTTCTCCATCTCTCAAACACACCACAAAGTATCCATTCTTAGATGTGACACTGATACTCCCCTTCCTCCTCACAGATTCCCTACAAACCCCCAGAGTCCACTCAGGCTTTTTTCCCACCTCCACCTCCCAGTAATGCCTCCCGTCTGTGAACTTTTCAGCGCCCAGAACAATGACATAAGGTTCAAATCTCCCAGGGTTGTCGGGAAGATCCTGCTGTGTATCTCCATGTCTCACACTTTTCCGATCCTCAGACAGGACGAGGTTGGACTGAGCTGTGGCTGGATCCAGAGTCACGTTCACTGGGGAGAGAGTCACAGAGTCAGTGCCGGGGGCAGGTGCCGGTCACTGGGATCCAAGGGAAATTAACCCTCTTTAATCCCTAATTATAAAATCACTTGCCCAGAGGGGGAAATGGAGGGAAAATATTAAATACTCCTTCCCCCCAAGAGGCAGTGAGACTTTCACACCCGACCTGTTTATTTCCAGGGGAAGGAGACAGAGGGGTTGATTTAGTGCAAAATAAACACAAAATACCTTATCCCTGGGGTCTCGTGGTGTCTGTGTCTCCAAGTTGCTTGGTATCTGAGCAGGACTCAAGTGTGAGGAAATAGACCGTATGCGCAGAAGCATGCACACTGATAGGCTGAAAGGTGCTAATAGCTGCACTCAGGGGTAAGGGCCCCACATTTTCCCTGACCACCTTCTTGTTGCTAACATACCTGTAGAAACTCTTCTTGTTACTCATCACATCCCTTGCTAGCTGCAACTCCAATTGTGCTTTGGCCTTCCTGATTACACCCCTGCATCCTTGAGCAATATTTTTATACTCCTCCCTAGTCATTTGTTCACGTTTCCACTTCTTGTAAGCTTCCTTTGGTATCCAGCTGCCGAGCATGGCTGAGAGTGAGACAGAGAGACAGCCGGCCCCAAGCACCTTGCAGCCCCCTCAGCCCCTTGGCACTGAGATCTGGGAGACCAGGGGGTGTTGACAGCCACAAGGGGACAGGTACCTGATGGGAAACCTGTCCAGCGAGGGCTGCAGTCTGCCTGGGGCCAGTCTTGAGGGGCTCTGCTCAACCCATGAGATCGGTTTTGCTGTAACTTATAGTCAACTAAACTCACTTTACAAGTATCCACCCGGCTGAGGTTACTAGGGGTACGTCTATACTACCCGCCGGATCGGCGCGTAGTGTTCGATGTATCGGGGATAGATTTATCGCGTCTCGTCTAGACGCGATAAATTGATCCCCAAATCGACGCCTGTACTCCACCTCGGCAGGAGGAGTAAGCGGAGTCGACAGGGGAGCCGCGGCGGTCAACTCACCGCCGTGAGGACAGCCAGGTAAGTCGAACTAAGATACTTCGACTTCCGCTACGCGAATAGTGTAGCTGAAGTTGCGTATCTTAGTTCGAACCCCCCCGCTAGTATAGCCCAGGCCTTGGATGGAAGGATGGGCTGAATGCTCAAGAGGAGTTAGGCATTGTGATGCTCAGCCTAATTATAGCTGCCTGAAGAAATTGCTGCAACTCCCAAAGCCTGAGCCAGGCACTCTCTAAAGCTCCTATAGGCGCCTGAAGCCTGTGACTTCCAAAAGTCATCATGCTAGGCAGAGATAGATGCACATGTCTGGACACTCACATGTCAGCTTGTGAGTCTGAAGCTGGGAACCCTCGGTAGAGCTAGGCGCTGATGTCATTTTAGCATGGGGGAGGGGGTTGCCCACCTTATAACCTTTAGCCCAGAGGCCAGGACATTTACCCGGGATGTGGCTGAAACAGGTTTAATTTTCCCCTCTCTGCAAGAGGGCGAGAAAGTATTTGTGCAGGCATCTCCCACCTCTCAAGAGAGGCTCTAATCACTGAGCTATGGGCTATTCTGATGTGTGACTCCTGCTGAAACTGTTTCACTGTGATTAAGTAATGAAAGAGGGATTGAAGCGGGGGCCTGGGTCTCCTAGCTGGTACCTAATTACACCCCAGAGTCATTCTTATTCTCTCTGGACCAATGTTTGGATTACCCGGGGTCCTCTCATGAGAGGTAGGAGACACCCCCACCATTCAAACCTATTCTCCCTGTCAGGCAGATAGGGGGAAATGAACCTGGGTCTTGCATCCCAGGTAAGTGACAGCCACTGGGCTACAAGGGACAAGGTGGGTCCTACCACCACATTTTGAATGTGACTTGATCCAGCAGGTGACCTCTAACAATGCCAATCAGATTGGGCCCCACATGCGACTTAGGTGGCTAAATTTGCCTGATTTGGGAATCTCTGGGGTTGAGGTGGGAGATAGGTGCTTGGACGCCCAAAGGGAGGCAGTGGTGCACATGCCCAGAGGCCGAAACAGACATCTAGCAAACTTTTATCCTCATAGTTTAGGCACCTATAGGGCTGAGGCAGGAGTTTTGTGCATCTGGCCTGAAACTGGGACTTAAGCACCTAACTTATGAACACAGGACTTATGAGGCGAGGCTGAGGGAACTGGGATTGTTTAGTCTGCAGAAGAGAAGAATGAAGGGGGATTTGATAAATGCTTTCAACTATCTGAAAGGAGGTTCCAAAGAGGATGGATCTAGACTGTTCTCAGTGGTAGCAGATGACAGAACAAGGAGTAATGGTCTCAAGTTGCAGTGGGGGAGGTTTAGGTTGGATATTAGGAAAAACTTTTTCACTAGGAGGGTGGTGAAGCACTGGAATGGGTTACCTAGGGAGGTGGTGGAATCTCCTTCCTTAGAGGTTTTTAAGGTCAGGCTTGACAAAGCCCTGGCTGGGATGATTTAGTTGGGGACTGGGTCCTGTTTTGAGCAGGGGGTTGGACTAGATGACCTCCTGAGGTTCCTTTCAACCCCGATATTCTATGATTCTATGAACTTGTTTTGAGCATCCAGATCAGGGACTATAAAAGGGAGGTACTAGATGTGCTTTCATTCATTTTAATGGAGTGAGGCTGCCAACTCTTTCTGGTTATGGGGTGGTGCAGGATGGATTCATTTAAGAGATTTAAATAAGTGATTTTAATCATGATTTAAATCAGCAAGCAGGAAACCTTGATTTAAATCATTGATTTTCATCATGTTTTGCATTTGGACTTTTTAGTTATTTTCTTAAAGAAAGATTGATTCTTATTAGTTGGTAACCATTAAAACATATTGATTCACAATTATACTACACTTGGTGCTTCTTTTTGCTAACCAGGAGCATACGCTATGGTCCAGACTCTAAAGGTATTTAGGCTCCTAACGTCCATTGAAATCAATGAAAGTTAGATGCCTAAAAATCTTTGAGGATCTGGGCTCATATCATATATTTAATTAATCAGCTACATAGCTTAATTTACATTTATTCAGATGCTTATTTTTTTCTTCTTTTGTTATGTTAGAAAATGATGAATGATGGATTTCTTATTTAATACATTCATTTTTTACTTGTGATTCAAGTTCTCTAGATGCCTATGTTTCAAGTTCTATTTGGATGGAAATTAAAATTCAATTAAAATCCACAAAGTTTTTCTTTAATTAAATAAAACTACCTTAAAAGTGTTGAATTCGTACAAAAAAAGTTTGCCAAAACATGTTTTGCACTTAAAACTAACAAATTATTATCTGTACTTAATGAGTTGAACTGGTTGTTCCTGGTCGCCATGTCCTTCAAGACTTAGAACAAGTAGATCTCATCCTCTCACCCTACTTTATATTCATAGTTTAGAATCCAAACTTTCCTGATTTTTCAACACACAAATAATTTCTTAACTTTGAATGAACTAATCACTGAAATGAACCAGTTAAATAAACCTCAATGAAGAAAATATTCTTTCTGCACCTGTAGAAGAGGCTACTGTTGTCAAAGCTGGTTCAGCACTTTGTCAAATCTGGCTCCAAGAGCTTAGCCAGTGTCTTCTTCCATTTCAGTAGTTTGGCTTTCTTTAAAACTTTGCAGCAAACATGTACTGCTTAAAATTATGTGTTGTATTCAATTACATGATTTTAATAGATTATAATGAGTTTTGGCCTCAACATAAGTTGTCAATTTAAAATTTAATTTTAAATAAGTTTATTTAAAAAAAATAAATCTGTATTTAATTTAAATGAAAAAAATCTGTTGTTTTTTAAATAAAAACAAAACCCATAGATTTTTATCCCCTCTGATGTGGGGGAGGGTTCTGTCAACCGGCATCTTGGCGGAAGCTTGCAGGAAGGAGCCAGGAAGGAAGGAGGAGGAAGACAAGTATCATTGAGGCCTGGTCTATGCATGGGGTGACAGTGGGGGGTGGGAAGAGGTAAGATAAAACAATAATTCAGCCTGATTTTAATGAAACATTGCCAGGTCCTGGGGTGACTAAGGACTGAGTCAGGTACTGTGCCTGTAAGTCTTTAGCAGTTAAGTTGTACCAGAGAGACGGAAGCTGTATTCTGTAGTTAGTATACTTTTCTCCCAATGGGTGTGTTTCTTTTGTTCACTAAAGAAACAGTTTGGACTTTGACAATAACAGCTCAAATGCTATAGTCTGTAATTGACTCTTTCAAAAAGGGTATTTAATACCATCTAACGTTTATCAAGTCAGAACTTTTCCCTCTGAAAGACTCCATACACTAAAGGGAAATGGAATATAGGAAATTGTTAAAATGAAGCCTTATTTAACTTTAAGTTTTAAATGTTTTAACTGACTTTTTCCTTCTTGTTATGTGTGATTAGTAAAAAGAAGCAGGGGAATTTTGACATAAATGAAATGTCAGCTTGATTTACCTGCATATATTTGGGCTCTTCTCCACCCTGAAAGCAAGCACAGACACAGAGATGAACACAGTCTGAAGAAGGCACAATTTCTAACTAAGTTTTAATTATGAAAAAAATAGAACTTACGAAGTTCAGCCAAGAGTTTCCCTAAAACAAACAAAGAAAAACAGACATATTACTAGAGCTTGTGTTATAGTGACTAGCCCTTTACATGATTCTTTATTATATGAATCCCAATAGCCTAGATAATTATCATAAACTAAAACCTTTTATTAACCTTAACTTAATGTTATTCCAAAAAAAAAGCTGTAAAAAAAATAACCAACCCTTAAATGTCTGAATGCCTGGACATTCCAAATGAAGTTTCCATCACTGGCTTTTTTCTCAGCCACTATATCCGTGGCCACTGTCCACCTGTGGCTGGGAAGTGCCCTGCGCCAGCCATGAAGGGGTTAAAGAGCTTCTCTGGGCACAATCAGCCCCAACCCAGTACACTTGTGAGATATGCCAAGCCTGGAGAAGGGCAGGTCCTTAAAATGGAGGATCCCAGATGACTCTGGAGTAAACAGAGCAAGAGCTCCTTAGTCCCAGAGCACAAGGGTTGTTTACTGGGTACACTCCTGAGAACATCAGCCAACCAGGCCCTCTGAGGAAGTAGAGGGACTGGCTTTTCTGGTTGTTTGGACATACAAGGGACCAGATCTCCTCCAAGAGACTCTTGACCTCTACACTGTCTGAGACTGAGCAGACCTGGCCCTTTTTTGGGCTCTGGAGGCAGTCTGTCCTCTTCTTTTGGGCTGCTTAACCCCCTCATCTCCTGAAGAGGGCAGGCTCTCTAAGAGGTACAGCTGGAGGGCTGTACCCTAAATCTGGAATCCAGACTACAGTAACTAGTCTCTGCCATCCAGGAAAGGACAGCAAAGATAGGAGGTGGTGCCCCTCTCACCCCAAGGGGGTGCTAGAGAGGTATAACCCATTGCACTACCCAATAGAGATTTGATAAATTTTACATCACTGATTATACAGTAAACGATGGTGTCACGTACACACACCTTCCCTCCTCCTGGCTGTGCAAATGGAATAGAGCCAGGTTCCTCTCAAGGGAAGATGGTGGCCCCTGACACATTAGATTTTTTTTCAGTTTTTCCAATGTGTCTTTAGAAATAACTTTAATCTAGTCTCAGACCACAGTCACTATCATGCACTAACAGTAATTGTACAGTTAACACCTGGCATCACTAAATGTCAGAATTAAGATTGTTTGGATGGTCTTACTGTGTGCTTCAAGACCTTAGCTTGTTTGGGATTTCTTTATGCTGAATTAGTCAGGCTTGTGATGTTTGCTTCTGGGATACATAAAACATTCACCTTTGAGTTACAGATACATACTCCCAACCTGACTTCCAGTTTAATGTAGTTTTTATCTGACACTAAAAATAGGTTTGGATTCATTAGTGAGATGTAAAGAATAGTTCCATTTGCTGCATTTCTCTCAGCTGAAACAGTTTCATCCAAGGAATCTCCCACTATTACTTTACCTTTCTCTCTGTGCTGCATCCAAAAATAGTAAATGGCTGGGGAAATGAGAAAACCCAGGACACTCAGGACCACAGCCAGAGCCACCATCCAGAGCGAAGTCCTTAGGAAAAACGGGTCTGGAAGAGAAAGCCTAATTAATTTGGAAACAGTGACAGAATCATGCCACCAGCAGGACTTCTGCACACAAAAGTAACATCATGTGATTGGGTGGAAGAAACTTTCCTGAGACTCTAAATCAGGTGTCGGCAACCTTTCAGAAGTGGTGTGCCAAATCTTCATTTATTCACTCTAATTTAAGGTTTTGCGTGCCAGTAATACATTGTAACGTTTTTAGAAGGTCTCTTTCTATAAGTCTATAATATATAACTAAACTATTGTTGTATGTAAAGTAAATAAGGTTTTTAAAATGTTTAAGAAGCTCCTTTAAAATTAAATTAAAATGCAGAGCCCCCCAGACCGGTGGTCAGGACCCGGGCAGTGTGAGTGCCACTGAAAATCAGCTCCCGTGCCGCCTTCGGCACGTGTGCCATAGGTTGCCTACCCCTCTCTAAATAAATTCCCTACTGAGATAAGGTTCCTTCACATTTCACTCTGAAGCCAATGGAAGTGAAAGCTTTGACCTGTTACAGAACACTATTAGGGCCTACCTACACGGTGAGAAGGAATTCCGTGGTAACCAAGGCAGGGGTCAATCATATTGTAGGCAAATCCCTGGCATTTCTGTATTTGCTGTGTAGATTGGCCCTACATAGGCAGAAACTAGTCACTCAAAAAACCAAAAACACTTTGTTGATTTGCTTCTTCACCTGCAACATAGCCTTAATGCTGCTTCACACATGACATAATGCAATGCTTATAGAATCATAGAGGTTCACTGGAACACTGCAAGTAACAACTCCAGCACCACAGCCAGGATTGAACTTCCTGATAGACCCTGCAGATCAAATACAACATCATAATGTACAATACACTTACTTAACACTATGATAAAGATACAACTCCATCTATTGGTGGAAGTGCTGTCTACACACATCACCACAACATTCCTCTCTCTAGTGGAACAAGAATTTAAAACATTATTTCCTAATAGTTCAAGTAGTTTGCCATCTCTGGAGGTTTCCATGTTTCTCTGCCTTCTCAAGTTATATATATTTAGTCATGGAGACATTGCTCACCATTGGATTTAGATTATCAGCGAGTGCAAAGTTCGTGTTTTCTGGGTTAGGCCTATTTGTTATGGCCAGACTGTCTGTTGAGACTACAGTATGATGGGGCCCCGAGGACACCCTGGCAATTGCTCCTCCACAACCAATCTCCCATCACAGGGACCTGTTGGGGTACCTCCATATCCACCTCTGCACCCCTTGGGAACAGAGACATGTGAGCATCCTTAGAATTTGCCTTCCCCTTTCTTTCAATGAATCTGTGCCCAGTTCTCATAAGAACAGCCAGATTGGGTCAGACCAATGGTCTATGTAGCCCAGTATCCTGTCTGCTGACAGTGGCAAGTACCAGAGTTTCAGGCAGAGTTTGCAGAACAGGGTAATTTTGGAGACATCCACCCTTGCCTTTCCCTCCTTGCTTCTGATAGTGAGAGGTTAAGGGTCACCTTGAGGATGGGATTACATCCATAACATCTTGGCCAGCAGTCATTGATGGACATGTCTGCCATGAATTTATCTAGTTCTTTTTTGAACCCAGTTATATTTTTGGTCATCACAACTCCCTATGGCAATGAGTTCCACAGGTTAATTGTGTTGTATGAAGAAGTATTGCCTCTTGTTTGTATTAAACCTGTGGCCTATTAATTTCATCGAGTGATTTCTGGTTCTTCTGATATGTGAAGGGGTAAATAACACTTCTCTATTACTTTTTCAACATCATTAATGATGTTATATACCTTTATCATACCTGCCTGAGTCGTCTCTTTTCTAAATTGAACAGCCATAATCTTTTTAGTCTGTCCACATATGGAAGCTGGTCCATACCCCTTGATCATCTTTGCTGCTCTTCTCTGAACCTTTTCCAGTTACACTATATCCTTTCTGAGATGGAGCAACCAGAACTAGACACAAAAACAACAGGGAGTCTGGTGGCACCTTGAAGACTAACAGATTAGTTAGTCTTTAAGGTGCCACCGGACTCCCTGTTGTTTTTGTGGATACAGACTAACATGGCTACCCCTGATACTTGACATCAGAACTAGACACAGTATTCAAGGTTTGGGTGCACAATGGATTTATGTAGTGTCATTATGATTAGAGCCTTGTGCAGATACAAAATTTATAGCCGCGCAGATGTGGATATCTGCAAATATAAATTGGATATCCGCGGAGCTGCAGGGCTCTACCAGGAACCACAGTGGCGAAAGCAGCAATACGTCAGACCACTACTCACAGGAGCCAGAGCCCTGCTAGGGCACTTCCTCCAGCGGCTGTACTGCCCCCAGCCCCACCCAACGGGGTGGGCACCAGGCTCACCAGCAGATGTCCCTGGTCGTGGTAGTGTGTACAAGCACTTTGCACACCCCTGGTCAGGAGACGCACATGGAATACTCTTTGAGCAGCCCTGGGCGCATATACAGTATAACTTTAATATAATCTTATCATTAGTAGTGTTTGTTGGCAATTACTTGGTCTGGCTGTGATGGGAACTGACCTGCTATGTAAATTGTTGACTCTTTTTCTTGGTTGAGGCGGGGATTCCTTATGTAACAATTCAAACCAGGATGTGTCCTTTCTTTTATAACAACAGAAATCTGAGCTTCAAACAGGCCATTTTCCTGTTGGGATTTCGTTTGGGACAGTGATGGTACAAGCTGCCCACTAGAATCTCTCCACAGCATTTCAGGCTCTGGGTACCACCCACCCGACGTACACACCACCCGGATCCCACCGGCCTCGTAGTCAGCAACAGAGATGTGGGGCCCAGAGCCCAAACCTGGAAGAGAATAGAAGAAACATCTATTAATCCTCCATCTTCATTTCTGTAAATATTCAGCATAGAGAGTGAGAGTTTGCACCTGAAGTAGAATAATAATAATAATAATAATAAGTATTATGGTAGTACCTAGGAACTATCCAGGATCAGAGCCTTACCATACTAGGCATTGTAGAAACATAAAGCAGTAGACAATCCCTGGTCTGATGAGCTTACAGTTTAAATGGGTTAAGGGGAAGGGATATAACATGAGCAGAGTGATGGGCTCCAAATGGGGGGATAATACCATGACTTTTAGATGGAGGAATGGGTTTTCTTTTTAATTTTTGGTCGGTCCCTTCCCCTTAACCCTGGATAGTTCCTAGGTGCTACCATAATACTTACTATTATTATTCTGTAAGCGAGGACTGGTCTGTCTCCCAAGATCTGTGAGAGTGAGGGATCATCTTTCAGGATAGGTTGTAGATCTTTGATGATGCGCTGGAGAGGTTTTAGTTGAGGGCTGAAGGTGACGGCTAGTGGCGTTCTGTTATTTTCTTTGTTGGGCCTGTCCTGTAGTAGGTGGCTTCTGGGTACTCTTCTGGCTCTGTCAATCTGTTTTTTCACTTCAGCAGGTGGGTATTGTAGTTTTCAGAATGCTTGATAGAGATCTTGTAGGTGTTTATCTCTGTCTGAGGGATTGGAGCAAATGCAGTTGTATCTTAGAGCTTGGCTGTAGATAATGGATCGTGTGGTGTGTCCATCATCAAAGATCTACAACCTCTCCTGAAAGATGATCCCTCATTCTCACAGATCTTGGGAGACAGACCAGTCCTCGCTTACAGACAGCCTCCCAACCTGAAGCAAATACTCACCAGCAACCACACATCACTGAACAAAAACATTGACCCAGGAACCTATCCTTGTAACAAAGCCCGATGCCAGCTCTGTCCACATATCTATTCAAGTGACACCATCATAGGACCTAACCACATCAGCCACACCATCAGGGGCTCGTTCACCTGCACATCTACCAACGTGATATATGCCATCATGTGCCAGCAATGCCCCTCTGCCATGTACATTGGCCAAAGTCTCTACGCAAAAGAATAAATGGACACAAATCTTACATCAGGAATCATAACATTCAAAAACCAGTGGGAACACTTGAACCTCTCTAACCACTCAGTGACAGACTTGAAGGTGACAATTTTGCAACAAAAAAACTTCAAAAACAGACTCCAAAGAGAGACTGCTGAACTCAAATTAATATGCAAATTAGATACAATTAACTTAGGTTTAAACAGAGACTGGGAATTGTTGAGTCGTTACACTAATTGAATCTTTTCCCCCATGTTAAGTTCTCCTCACACCTTCTATGGGTCATCTCGATTATCACTTCAAAGGTGTTTTTTCTTCTGCTGCTGATAGCTCATCTCAATTGATTGGCCTCTTACAGTTGGTATGCATACTTCCACCTTTTCATGTTCTCGGTATGTATAAATATCTTCTGTCTGTGTGTTCCATTCTATGCATCCGAAGAAGTGAGCTGTAGCCCACGAAAGCTTATGCTCAAATAAATTTGTTAGTCTCTAAGGTGCCACAAGTACTCCTGTTCTTTTTATCAAATATTTGTTCCCCCTACAGATACTTTTAGACTGTAATAAAGTCAGTCATTAACCTTATCCTTGTGAAGCTAAATAGATTGAGCTCTTTGAATCTAGGCATGTTTTCCAATCATTCTCATAATTCTTCCCTGAATCCTCTCCAATTTATCAACATCCTTCTTTCATTGTGGGCATCATAACTGGTCACACTATTCCAGCAGCAGTTGCACCAGTTCCAGATAGTCTCTCTCCTTCTACTTGAGATCGCCCTGTTTATGCATCCCAGGGTCACATTAGGTCTTTTGGGAACAACTTTCATTTAGCTGATTATCCACCATGACCCCCAAATCTTGTTTTAGAGTCACTGCTTCCCAGGATAAAGTCCCCCTCCTGTAAGCATGGCCTGCATTCTTTGGTCCTAGACATATACATTTAGCCTATTGTTCACTTGTGTCCAGTTTACCAAGCAATCCAGATTACTCTGAATCAGTGACCTGTTCTCTTCATTATTGGCCACTCCCCCATTTTTTGTGTCATTTACAAAATTTATCAGTGGTGATTTTGTATTCTTCCAGGTCGCTGATAAAAATGTTAGATGGCACAGGGCCAAAAACCGATCCCTGCAGGGCTCCACTGGAAATACACATTTGATGATGATTCCCCATTTATAATGATATTTTGAGACTTATCAGTTAGCCAGTTTTTAATTTATTTAATGTGTGCCATGTTAATTTTATATAATCATTTTTTAGTCAACATGTTGTGTGGTATGAAGTCAAACACCTTACAGATGTCTAAGTATATTATGTCAACATTATTACCATAGAATCATAGAATATCAGGGCTGGAAGGGAACTCTGGAAGTCATCCAGTCCAACCCCCTGCTCAAAGCAGGACCAATCCCGAACTAAATCATCCCAGACAGGGCTTTGTCAAGCAGGGTCTTAAAAACCTCTAAGGATGGAGATTCTGCCACCTCTCTAAGTAACCCATTCCAGTGCTTCACCACCCTCCTAGTGAAAAAGTTTTTCCTAATATCCAACTTAAACCTCCCCCACTGCAACTTGAGACCATTACTCCTTGTTCGGTCATCTGCTACCACTGAGGACAGTAGAGCTCCATCCTCTTTGGAACTCCCTTTCAGGTAGTTGAAAGCAGCCATCAAATCCCCCCTCATTCTTCTCTTCTGCAGACTAAATAATCCCAGTTGCCTCAGCCTCGCCTCATAAATCGTGTGCTCCAGCCGCCTAACCATTTTTGTTGTCCTCCGCTGGACTCTTTCCAATTTTTCCACATCCTTCTTATAGTGTGGGGCTCAAAACTGGACACAGTACTCCAGATGAGGCCTCACCAATGCCGAATAGAAGGGAATGATCACAGCCCTCAATCTGCTTGCAATGCTCCTACTTATACAGCCCAAAATGCTGTTAGCCTTTCTTGGCAACAAGGGCACACTGTCGACTCATATCCAGCTTCTCATCCACTGTAACCCCTAGGTCCTTTTCTGCAGAACTGCTGCGTAGCTACTCGGTCCCTAGTCTGTAGCAGTGCATGGGATTCTTCCGTCCTAAATGCAGGACTCTGCACTTGTCCTTGTTGAACCTCATCAGATTACTTTTGGCCCAATCCTCTAATTTGTCTAGGTCCCTCTGGACCCTATCCCTACCCTCCAGCGTATCTACCACTCCTCCCAGTTTAGTGTCATCTGCAAACTTGCTGAGGGTGCAGTCCATGCCATCCTCCAGATCATTAATGAAGATATTGAACAAAACCTGCCCCAGGAACGACCCTTGGGGCACTCCGCTTTGATACTGATCACTACCTGTTGAACCCGATGATCTAGCCAGCTTTCTATCCACCTTATAGTCCATTCATCCAGTCCATACTTCTTCTCAACCAAACTTGTTATCGTGTCAACAAAGATATTGTTAGTTTGACAGGATCTATTTTCCATAAACCCATGTTGATTTGTACTAATTACATAATTATCTTTAAAAAGAACGAGGAATACTTGTGGCACCTTAGAGACTAACAAATTTATGTCATCAATGTAGTTTAGATAGTTTAGTGTCCTTTTTCCTTTGTAGAGAAGCAAAGTGTGTGTTGTAAATGGCTTGTCTAGTTTTTGTAAAGTCCAGCCACTAGGAAGTTTGTGTGGAAGGTTGGTTTTTTTATGAGAGTATCCAGTTTTGAGAGCTCATTGTACATAGAGTGCTTTCCCTGTTTGCTGTATAGGATGTTGATCAGGTGGTTCTAATAGCCCACCTCAACTGATTACTCTCGTTATAGTTGGTATGGCAACACCCATTTTTTCATGTTCTCTGTATATATATATATATATATATATATCTGCCTACTGTATTTTCCACTACATGAATCCGATGAAGTGGGCTGTAGCCCACAAAAGCTTATGCTCAAATAAATTTGTTAGTCTCTAAGGTGCCACAAGTACTCCTGTTCTTTTTGTTGATACAGACTAACACAGCTACCACTCTGATAATTATCTTTTATTCTTTGTTAATCAAGTTCCATATCAACTGCTCCATTCTCTTGTCGAGGATTGGTATTAGGTTGACAGGCCTATAAATACCCAGGACAACCATGTTTATACTTTTAAAAAATTGGTACACCACTAGCATTCTTCCAGTCTTGTGGAACTTCCATAATGCTCCAAGACCTGTTGAAAAATCAACATTAATCTTTCAGAGAACTCCCCATAGAGCTCTTTTACAACTCTTGGATGCAAAGGAATCATTTTTGAAGCACTTAGAGGAGAGGGAAGTGATCAGGAACAGTCAACATGGATTCACCAAGGGCAAGTCATGCCTGACCAACCTGATTGCCTTCTATGAGGAGATAACTGGCTCTGTGGATGAGGGAAAAGCAGTGGACGTGTTATTCCTTGACTTTAGCAAAGCTTTTGGTACGGTCTCCCATAGTATTCTTGCCAGCAAGTTAAAGAAATATGGGTTGGATGAATG